AAATATGATTAATGCACACAAACTTCCCAGAATACTCAGTGCCCTGTTGGTTACAGTGTTTTTTAATTATATTTTTATTAAATATTTATTTATATGTGAAAATACTTTGTCATCTAAAGTATAAGTATGTTTATTTAACACATTTATTTTTTAATCAATTTTCAAATGATTTCAAATTTCTTAAATATTAATAAAAATAAATAATTATATCGGCTTTATATCGGCCACCATGCTTTCCAAGATATCGGCATCGGCTGTCAAAAAAACAATATCGGCCGTTAAAATTATGCTGCGCTTTATGCATTTTCCCACTATCATATTCATGTCATTTTCACTGTGTGCTGTATGTAAAATGAGTGTTACCTTGGCTTTATTTGAAAAAATATGATTAATGCACACAAACTTCCCAGAATACTCAGTGCCCTGTTGGTTACAGTGTTTTTTAATTATATTTTTATTAAATATTTATTTATATGTGAAAATACTTTGTCATCTAAAGTATAAGTATGTTTATTTAACAAAAAAAAGCTGTTTATTTTGAAAAGCTGTCAAAAAAACCAATATCGGTCGACTACTATTTTTTATACTGATTTTATTATACAACTATACATGAGATGGGGTCAAAATAGCACCAAATATTGTTTCATACTTGCGTGCAGTAATTTTCAGTTTTACTCTGACAAACGTAACAATAACACTAAGTGATAAAAACAGGAGATAACTTCTCCTTGTAAAGTTCACTGTTTGAAACTAGCATGATGATCAATGTCATTGTAACTAGAAAAATATGAGGGTAACAGGGTTGATGCATATAACCTGTTTTAAGAACAGGGGTGTATTCCAGAAAGCACGGTTAACATACCGTCAGTTAAACCCTGAACTTTCGGTTGATTAACCCCAAACCTTGCTTACTCGAGGTATGTGGTTCAAAAAACGCGTCTGGGAGTAAGTTAATTAAACTCAGAGTATGTTCCTGGTTAAGACTCAAGACATTCTCAACAGAGCGACGAATCGATATGTCACATAACCTGCTTTTTGGAATACCCCCCAGATGTCAACTAAACAAACCTGAGGGAATAATGATGGCAACTAGCTTTTATTTCCATATTTTTGGATGTATTAAGTTAAAGGGGTCCTATTATGCTTTTTCACTTTTTTAAATTTAGTTAGTGTGTAATGTTGAAAAAGAAGAGCTGGCATGCTGTCGCCACGGCGAAGAAACGCTGTTTTTTTCCACCCGGTTCCAAAACCCCTTTATTTGTGCTTACAAAGGTCCTGCAAGTTCCTCTTGTTTGTAAACATTCTCAGGGTCTGAATCGGACTCAGATTGGTATGGCAAAATTGATGTCATCATCGTTAATATTTACAGTTGCGCAGATGAATCTCGCGGTTATGGTAAGGGGCGTGTCAATTCCGGAACACGCGTTTGGCCAAACACAACACACTGGGCCAGCTAACCAATCAGAGCACATTTCATGTTTCGGAAAGAGGGATTTCACTGAAACAGTCAACTAAACAGGGTGTTCAAGACAGACTGGGAAGAGAGGTGCTGCAATAATGTAAAATACGTAAAAAAAAAAAAAATAAAATAAAAAAACACCAACAACAATGCGTTTTTGGAACAATCAAGCACGAAAACCTTTTCTAGTACACCAAATCAAGACATTATAAGACATAATAGGACCACTTTAAATCTGTTGTTGCGTTTAAAAAAAGTCTCTATTAAACACAGTAAAAGCTAGCATCAGCTAGCAAAGTAATTTTATCACACATGCATCCTACCATACAAATTCAATTTTTATTCAGTTTTCACACTCCCTTTCCCTCTGTAGCACAGCCACAGTCTAAGAGATGCATAATAAAACAATTCTGACAAAATAGTTACTGAATATTGGCTTTGCAGGGAAGTATATGAGTGACGTAAACATTTACAGCAATGACCAAAAAGAGTAAATCGTAAATTCGTAAATTGTAACACAACAGATTTAAAAATGAATTTTCTGTCCAGGGGAGTACAAAAGCTTTCAGAGTTAAAAAGTCAACCATCGATTAGCTAGCAGTACATTCCATTTATCCAGCCCTAAATGAATTTGAAACATCACCATGCTGCACCACAACATTATATGTCACACCACAAACAATCACACTGAATGTGAAACAGTCAACTAAACAGGGTGTTCAAGACAGACTGGGAAGAGAGGTGCTGCAATAATGTAAAATACGTCAAAAAATAAATAAATAAATAAAAAAAACACCAACAACAATGCGTTTTTGGAACAATCAAGCACGAAAACCTTTTCTAGTACACCAAATCAAGACATTATAAGACATAATAGGACCACTTTAAATCTGTTGTTGCGTTTAAAAAAAGTCTCTATTAAACACAGTAAAAGCTAGCATCAGCTAGCAAAGTAATTTTATCACACATGCATCCTACCATACAAATTCAATTTTTATTCAGTTTTCACACTCCCTTTCCCTCTGTAGCACAGCCACAGTCTAAGAGATGCATAATAAAACAATTCTGACAAAATAGTTACTGAATATTGGCTTTGCAGGGAAGTATATGAGTGACGTAAACATTTACAGCAATGACCAAAAAGAGTAAATCGTAAATTCGTAAATTGTAACACAACAGATTTAAAAATGAATTTTCTGTCCAGGGGAGTACAAAAGCTTTCAGAGTTAAAAAGTCAACCATCGATTAGCTAGCAGTACATTCCATTTATCCAGCCCTAAATGAATTTGAAACATCACCATGCTGCACCACAACATTATATGTCACACCACAAACAATCACACTGAATGGAACAAATGCTGCCTGCACCAAGATAACAAGCGTAATAAAACTTATTGATGATTCTTTTACTTATTATCGTGGGTATCACTGCAAGAACAAGCAAAAAAGCTTCACCCAACAACGCACAATGAATGCCAAAGGCCAACTATATCAATATCCATTTCCTTTCAGCTGAATTCATGCATGCTTAAAAGATGCCTTCTGCTGTGGCATCCATTACAGTAACTTGACTGCAGGGCTTGCTTGTGCAACAGACACCCAGAAAAAAAGGGAGTCAGAAAAATTATGACCAGGAAAACTGCTTAAGCAGTTCTTACTAAAAGCATGAACATAAACCATACAAATATTTTAAATTTGAAAACTGTCCACTTCAATAAATCACCTGAACAACAATGCAAAATATATTATTCAGAATTATTTAAATAAATTATTTTTATATTTATAAAAAAAGACACTCTTTAGGAGCAAATAGATTAAGATATATATTGAATATTTTGAATATTTAAAAACAGTAAGTGCTACATTTACAATCTTCACTGATACCATAGATTTAGAAAGCACATTCCAGGTAAAATGTAATTTGTGTGGTTAGTTTTGACCAGCTACTGCAGTTTTACCTTTAGACTTAATTTAACATAATCAAATCATTGTTTTATGGGAATGTCACAGCAACGATTTTGAGATAGTCTTTCAGGGACATTTTTACGGGTTTTCTAACTTGCTATAAAGGATATGAACAATTCACCAATTATCCATGTTAATAAAAAACAGCACGAAACTTTAAGACAAAGCTGTTTTTGGTCATTGGATGATATATTAAAGCTACCAGCAGAGTCATTTAGGACAAATTTTGAGACAGTGTACAATAAATTAAAAAAAATTACCATTTTGAAATTATCACTAATTTTGCAGAGTTAACAGCCTTGTTTGGTGGATAATGCACTATTTCTGTGTGAATATTGGGCAAAAACGATTGAATTGCATAACGAAATTGAATAGATTTCCAAGTATACACTTCATAAAGCAAATGAAAAAAATGCAATTAATTGTTGTTAACCATTTTCCTCTTCCCACTATAACCTGCTACTTAAATTGTATATATATAAATTGTTTCTTTATTGTTGCCACATAGCCATGCACTAGCCTAACTTTTTGAGAAAAGACATGCAGTGGTTCATTGGGCTAGCCAAGAAGTAAAATACAGCTCTCTCACAATAATAAAAAATAACGTTTGGTTTTAAAATCAAAATTAATATTGAATAAAATTAATATAAGTTTCTCATCAATTTGCACCACATGGTTCTGCCATCTTTTACAAATTAAATCAGAAGGACGTTCAGAAATTCATTCTTTTTTCAGGTGAAGAGCACCTAATGTTAGCGTGATGGAGAAAAACAAGGCCCACAGGTACTACTAAGGTCATCCGGGCGTCGTAATTTTAGGGATGACAGCTAAATCGTCAAATCTGATATAATCAATGTGTTGTGACGTTAAGGTTGAGCGATACCGTTATCCATTCCCCATACGAATTTATAATGGTGACTTTAGCTAAGCTAATTGGCTAATTAGCTAGCATGTATAACGGGCCTGTAACCGGTTAACTGTATGACATTTAAACAACACAATCTTTAACATGATACACACAAACACACAAATAAAACATATGTGACGGTACATAAGATAAGGAGAAATGCTGTCAGAGACCGTTCAAGCTCATGTGCTGCTGACTAGTGAGATGTTTAGCGGGATAACACTATTGACAAGAAGAATGAACAGGTAAGAAGAATATATCTGAAAACTTAGTGAGCTGTCTACCTAGTCAACATTTTGAGAGCACTATAGGCAAGGAAAACGTGCCTATTATGCCCCAAATTGCTACACGCTCCTGTCGTACCTAAAGATGCTGCCTAGGTAGGCAGCTCACTGGGGTTTGATACACAGCCTAGAAAAAAAAACCACACTCGTGCAGAACAGCGTGGAATTGTGTACATTTAAAAGAAGAACACATATGATCGGGAAGGGGTCATAAATAGGTTGAAGATAGTGAAATAAAAAAAAAAGATCATAATGTTATATTAATCGTGTGGCGCTCGTGATCAGCTGAGGGTGTGTGACGTCACGGGATCCGCACCTTTATAAGTAACGGGCCTCTGCATCGACACACAAGCGCTTTAGAAAGCAAAAGCCCGGGCATACTCACGCTTTATCCACCAACTCCCTGACTTTCCACATATTCAACATGTCGGCGCTTTAGCAGGGGCTCTCTGCCTCAATATCGTGTCGTCCAGTCCGCACTAAAACACAGGTGGACTCGGATATCTGTTACCGATAATCAGAGAACTCCTCAGCCCCTTCCGCCTCTCCAGCGCTAATCGACACAGCAGCGAATCGGCCAGTTACTACGGTGACGCGTATTGTGCGTCAAGGGGGGAGCGGACGCGGGCATGACGTCGTGTGCGGGCATCATGGGAAATGTAGTTTTCGATAAACGTAAACCGCCAAGTACAACCCAAAGCACATAATTATTTAAATATATGTTACTCTGAACCATAACAAACTAATCAGATTAGTGGCTATAATTTATAGTGCTAATCCAGTTCTGTACATAAAAAAGAAAATAAAAAAATGGAGAAATATACTGTATTACAGCAGTCAGAAGACAGAAATATGTCAAATGTTCTATCACTAATCAGCCTTTGAATTAGAAACCTTAGACTGAGCTATATGGTTATTAATTGTACTTTTATGATTGCCAAATAAATATAAAGTATTGCTCTCAATTAAAATGAATTAAATTAAGTCAATAGCACATCATCCCTGTTTGCCAATATATTGCTGACAAACTGAATCAGTGTAAAGGTTGCATCAGAAAAGAAAATATTAATATGAAGATCATTTGTAGTACAATGTATCCCACATATATCATAACCACAAACCATCACTATGTCATAACCTTAAAATTATTTGCCTCAGAAGGCTTTGCCATTATAGGCCTACTTTGATTATACTATAGTGCTGGCCAAATAAATATTGACACTACCATGGTATTGAATTTGTATTGAAACGTTCATGGTATTTGCATTGTACTTCATGGTAATTCAAGGAATATAATGGGTCTACCATGGGACATGTTCAAAACACCATGTGGAAGTGAAATAAGTAGCTTACTGGCTAGCTTAATACCTTATATACCATCTGTTAACCCTTGTCATTTCACAATACTTTGTGAAAAGTAATCATTAGATCCAAACTTGGTTGTTGTTGTTATTGTTGTTGTATGTTACATTGTTACGCCAGTAGGTGGCAGCACGTGACCATCCTAATGAGTAATTTAGTAATTCATTCAATGATAGGTTGAGGTTCAAAACAACTGATTCATTCAGTAATGATTGGCTGTGCTGCCTATACCGTTATATACTGTACAGTTTGAGGGGACAGCCATTTGTAATGTTGTCTGAAACCATAGTGATAGTGGATATTATCAAGTGTACTCAACATTTCAACAAGTGTATAACCGATGTACACTAAACGGGTAGCCAAATAACACTGTGCACTGTAAGCATCAAAGTGAATTGATTTGTGTGTCTCACTAGAAGATGGTGTCTACAGCACTTCCGGCACACTTCCGTGTCCAAATTTGCTCACTGGTTATCATTTACTCATTCAGTGGACTATATTAGTGGAGTAATGTATAGAATAGTGAATGCGGGTAAGGTGTGATGATTTCAGATACAGCCATTGTCTTCATAAATGAGTCACTGAGTCATTCACTCAACCAATTTGTTCAAAAACCCTAAATCAGGAATGAAACTCTACTGTCTGTTCCTTGGCGTTACAATGGTTCTTGCAAGTATTTTCACTGGTGGAGAAAAACAGACACGCTAACTGGCAAAATTTACTGAATAAGTTACTCATTGTTACCTTACCAAACCATGCAGCATTCTGTTGTCAATGCAGTAAATTTGTGTGGAAAAAACTTGAACCTGATGCAAAATCTGCACGGGGAAATCCTTCACCCTTATGCAAAATGTTGGGTACTTGTTCTGTGACTAGGGCAGGGTTGCCAGGTTTTCACAACAAAACCCGCCCAATTGCTTCTCAAAACTAGCCCAAAACTAGACCAATCGCGTTTCAAGGGGGGTCCCCCGATAAAAATTGCGTTCTGGGGATAAAATACACGTTTTTTGGCGGGGTTCCCCCGGTAAAATTAACATGTTAGGGGCTAAATATCACGTTATTGGGGTCGTTTCAACCCGCGGACATGAAAAACAACCCGCGGCAACAGTGTTAAAGTAGCCCAATTCCGCGGGAAAACACTGGACTAGGGACTTGTTTTGATGACATACACTTTTTGGTCGAGGATCTTGCTGAATGTTATTTCAGATTAGACATTCAGACAGCGAATTAGCCACCAATTCACCAAAACATAAAATAGTTGTGTTTACTTATTTACATATTTGTCCATAAATTTCCTGTGGCCTCATACCTATGGCCAAGTGATGTATGTCCATAACATACTTTTGCTTGCATGATATTGCTTTAATAGATTCATATATGTATATATTATATCACAGAATTTGTGAATTACAAACATTGTGCAAAAATCAGGAGCTGTGCTTGACAACAGGTTTTAAGTTGCAGCTAGTAATAGTACAGAGTCGCTCTGTCTTTCAACTTCTGGCTCTGGAAACTGGGACAAAGCTCGCCAAATGTCTCTGTCAAAACTTAATGGACATTTCCAGTACGCCCTTCAACAAGAGGACGCAAAGCCTAACAACTGCAGTCAAAAACAACATTGCAAGGCATTCAGAAAACACTGTGAACCTTCATAGACAAATATAAAATGGCAGAAAGGAGCCATCCTTGAAAGTCTGTTAATCCTGCAGCACTTTGGCATCCTGATTCCATCACGCTCAACTTTGTGATGGACAGCAGACATCAGCGGAGGTTAGGCCACCGGTTTCCTGATGTCATCTCCGATTCAGGGTCCATTTCTCAAGAGTCTGCGTCATATTGCCTCCATGTGTGAATTCCAGCGAAATGCTGAGATTTTAAAGAAGAACTCAGATGGAGATAGAAAGGGCAACCTTTCACATAAACACATGGTATAAATAAATAATTAACCTGATGACAATCAAACAAGCAAGAAACATCGATTGTCTAGAGTGACAACAGACACAAGACGGCACTTAGTGTCCTCAAAGTCTAGCACTCGAGGGAGAGACCATTGTGGGCAGGCAGATTTGAAGTCTAGATGAGGACGTCAGGACACTCGGGTACCATTTGATCAGCTTAACTAAGAGAAGTGGCAGAGATTGACAGCTGAGGCTGTTTTGTATTCAGTAGTGGTGTGGCCATTGGGGGGGAGGGTCAAGTGGTAAACAATGTCCACGGGAGGCACTTAGACGTGGGCCTACTGACTGAGAAAGTGCTGTATCATGTTGAAACGTGATGAGGTGCAAGATAGACGGCCCATTGTCAGTTTACTCGCTTCACTAACCTCTAGGTTTTAGCACAGCATTGTACTAATAGTAAGTTAATTTCTGTTTTAGCAGGTCAGAATCTGTACACTGCGTACTGGATTTTGAGGGGAAACCAGCAGAATTATTTAAACAGTGCTGAGAGTACTATACTCTTAGCTGAAAACATCAAATTTATGGCAGCTAGGAATTTTATAAAACTGCATGATGGATGTCAGATTTGTGGAAATTTGCAGAGCTTTCTGTAAAGTTCTGTGTGTGTAGATCTCATGTAGGCCTGGCTTTCAGATACAAATATAATTATACATTTTAAAATGGATTTTCCACACAAAAATGAAAATTCTGTAATTGTTTACTTACCCTCAAGAAAGAAAGCCATTCAGTTTTGAACAACAATAGGACTAGAGTAAATAAATTACTTTGTTTCTTTTTATCTTGGGTTAAATATGCCTAGCTGACCTAGATCTATAGCTGACCTTTATGCAAACAACACATTTCACAAACAAAAAGTAAAAAATATCATGATTGTTACATTGTTATATTAAAATTATAACTAAATTATTTTAATTATTATTACATAATATTAAGAAGAATTATAATAACTATTAAATTTAGATATTAACATTTTTAGGTTGCCATTTCTGTCAATGTAAGGTAAAGATTTTAACACAGTAAATATCATAGCATTTCAGTTTGACAGTTTTTTACAATCGCTATGACAATTTTTTCAATATTTTAACAATTTTCCTAAACACTTAACGCAGTTAGCACAACATCTGTCTGTATAGGCTATACAATTAACGCAGTTCTTGTTGCTTTGACACAAAATGCATGCAGTTAACACAAATTTAAAATGCTTGAACTTCTTTTACACACAAGCTCAACCAAGACCAAGACAATGGATTTTTACTGGCAAATTTACAAATGCTTTCACACTATATCTCAGAACAGATAACATAATTTTCTAAACCTAACTTATAGGCTAAAGTCAAAGTGAACAGCTGTTCATATTGTGAGTTTGGAACACAAATATATCCCGTTTTTTATTCATTAATGAGAAAGAGCTGATTGCAAATATATAATGTTATGCAACTACAGACCGGTTTCCCTTCTTCCTTTCATTGCAAAAACACGCAGACTATACGATTAACACATTTCTTGTTGCTTTGACACAAAATGCATGCAGTTAACACAAATTTAAAATGCTTGAACTTCTTTTACACACAAGCTCAACCAAGACCAAGACAATGGATTTTTACTGGCAAATTTACAAATGCTTTCACACTATATCTCAGAACAGATAACATAATTTTCTAAACCTAACTTATAGGCTAAAGTCAAAGTGAACAGCTGTTCATATTGTGAGTTTGGAACACAAATATATCCCGTTTTTTATTCATTAATGAGAAAGAGCTGATTGCAAATATATAATGTTATGCAACTACAGACCGGTTTTTAATTTTCTACACAGAAAATAGTGTACACAGAAACAGAAAGCAATGATAAACACAATGTGTCAATACTAATAAAATAAGGTACAAAACAACTACAACAAAAAAAACAACAAAAAAACACAAACCATGAACAGACAATGCACAGTCAGAATAATAGGAACTAATAATAAAAATAATTAAATATACATATATAAATAAATATTAATCCGTTATTCAAGCTGTTTATGAGATTTGTAAAACAACCTTCAGAAATCAAGCCTTACTCCTTTCCCATCAACTATCAGGACTGAGTAAAGAACCCAGAGTGGGCTTTTTCAAAAGAGGCTGCACCAAGGCATGTTTAAAATGTGATGGAACTACACCCTTTAACAGACTCTGATTCATTATGGACAGGATCATAGAACCCACCACATCCCAAATCTGAGTTAATAAACAAG